GAGGCCGCAGGCTGGCCCGGGCGCTGGGCGCGGGCGGCGCGGTCGCCGGCATCTCCGCCGGGCGGCGGCTTAAAGCCTGAGGCGCGCGCCGCCGACCTGCGGAGGTCGATTGCCGCCCACGCCTGCGAGCCCGCTTTTCGTGTTCGTGCGTTTTAGGACGGGCTCCGCCAAGCTGTCCAGACTGGGCTTGAGCTTGGGACCTGCTGCGGGAGCCTCTCGCAGGGTGCCTTTAGTTTACTTTGTGCAGCGTTCTAACAGGGTTACCAACGGTGGAAACATCGGGTATGAAAAGTTCCGGCCCACACACCGTTTCCCAGCTTTTTTTCTCTACGTTTATTTGCTCAGTGAAAGAAAAACGGAAGTCTGGTTTTTGCAGAAATATTTACAAGTTTCATATTTTCACAAACAAGAGTTAACAGTTCATTGAAATGGGTTGTTTTCCTGGGGATGGAACTCAAGCCTGTGCAGTTAGTTAAGCCCTCTACCACTGAGCTCCACACCCTGGCCTCTGAAATACATTATTGTTATTATTGTTATTATTATTTATACTTGGGATTGAACCTAGGAATATTCATTCTACCACTGAACTACATACCCCAACCCTTTTTATTTTTTGTTTGGAGAAACGACCTCGCTCAGTGGCTGGGCTTGAACTTTGAGTCCTCCCAGCTTAGCCCCCAGAGTCTGGCATGGGCCCCTGCGGCTGGCGGTGCCTGCGCGCGGCTCTGTGGGTGGAGCACTGCCTCCGTTCTCCCTCCTTCACCCCTCCCTGTCTCCTCAGTTGAAAGAATCGTGTTCTGCAAATTCACTTGCACATACCTGACGGAGGCTATATCTTGTCTGTACCTTACTTACATATTGCTTTAGAATAATCTGGTATCAACTTTGTGAAATAAAATCCCAAACACTGGGGGAAAGAGGAGGGGACATGGTGAAAAAAAAAAAAAAAAATGAACCAGGAAGGTATTAACTGATGCTTAATGTAAGTCTTTTACTCACAAACTTATCACTGACCCATATCACTTGGGAAATTATTTCTTAAAGAAAATACATTTCCAAGTAGGGATGTATACAGTAGTGTTCGGTGTTTCAGGGGTTGAAGGTGAAATAACCTTAGCAAAAATAATCTGGAGGTTAAATTATGTTTACATGATAACAGATAACTATTTCTGTCAGTATTATTTTTTTAAATTTTTATTTATTTATTTATTTGTGTGTGTGTGTGTGTGTGTGTGTGTGGCCAGCTCAGCCCACCAGGGGGCAGGGCTGGCTGGCATGTGGTGCTGGAGGATTGAACCGCGGTCCCTGTGCTTTGCTTGACTTAGCTTGTTCTAAGTAGGTGCTTTAGACCACTGAGCCATCTCACCAGCCCCAGTATTTTTTTTTTTAGAAAAAAGATAAAATCTTTTGTTTAGCAGACAACTGTGTACAGTAGTTTACATTTGGGGCCTGGGGAGGTAGGTGCTCAGTGATACTGGCTTCAGTTCCCAACTCATAAAAAGAAGAAAATGAGTTTATTCCTCGAGCTCATGTTCAAGGGCCGGCGAGATAGCTCAGCAGAACAAGTGCCTGGTTCACCAAGTGCAGAGACCAGGGCTCCATCCCCGCGGAGGCACACTGAGCGGGCCATGGAGACCAGGCTGGTGGCACACACCTGTAAGCCCAGCGCTGGGGAGGCTGAAAACAGGAGGATCGGGGCTTGCTGGTTAGCTCAGTTGTTAAAGCGCCTGCTGGGGCAAACCCAGTCAGGCTCAGGGTAGTGTAGTTTGATCCCTGGCTTCCCATGCCTTACCAGCCCTGCCCTTAAGGCAGCCTGAGCCAGCCAAAAACAAAAAACAAAAAAAAAACCCCAGAAGGATCACTACAAGTCTGAGTTGCATAGTAAGACCCTGCACCAAATTAAAAAAAAAAAAAAAGTTCATGCTCATACTCTATTTAAAAGGAGCCAATGGTGGCACATACTGTAATCTCATCCCTTTGAGAGACTGAAGCAAAAAGCAAGAGGATGAGTTCAAGCCCAGCATAGGCAACTTGGCCAGACCCAATCTCAAAAAAATTTTTTTAGAAAGGGATCAGGGAATGTAGCTCAGTGTGAAGGCCCTGGGCTCAGCCTCCAGTATCTGTTCCCCATCTCCCCAAAATCCCATGTAAAAGACACTGGACTCTGGAGGTAGCTCTTGGAGGGGAATTGCCAATCATGTTAGATACTTTGGGCTCAAATCCCAGTTTCATCAGAGAAAAAAAAAATGTGACTGGGAGGACTAAGGACAAGTCTATTATTAGTGAATCAAGTAGGAATAAATATGAAGAATTTATTTCCTTACTCTTGTATAAAGAAAGTAGTTTTTTGTTGTTGTACTTCTTAGGGAAGGGTCTGCTAGGTGTTCAGGGTCTCACTACTAGATCAGACTTGTAGTGATCCACCTGTTCACAGCCTCCCAAGAGCTGGGGTTACAGGTGTGCACCACCACACCCAGTCTCAATTTTTTTTTTTTTTTTTTTTTCAGTACCAGGGATTGAACTCAGGACCCTGAGCTTGCCATGCAGACGTTTATTCTACTGAGCTATCTCCCCGGCCCCCTAGTCTCATTGAGTCATCTCAGTGGGCCCCTGGGTCAGGGCCAGCATGGCAGGCCTAGGGATCAAACCCCCTGCACCTGCTTGTAGGTGGCTTTAATGTGCTATTTAGCCGGCTCTTAGGAAAGTAGTCTTTAAACAGCCTTACTAACCATTATGAAATACACCCACTTAAAGTGTTTAGTTGCGTGTTTTAGTATGTTCAGAGTCGTGAAATGATTATTGCCACCTAATTTTATCTACTTTGAATAATGCTACTATAAATATTTATTTGCAAGGTATTATATGGATATGTATTTTTGTTTCTTGTGGATGGTAGGAGTAGAATTGCTGGGTCACTGGTAGCTTGGTGTGTAACATTTTGAGGAATTGCCAGACTTTGAAAAGCTTGCCACCACATTGCATTCCCACCAGCTGTGTGCGAGGATTTCAGTTGCTGCATTTTTGGTATTGCCTGTTTTTATTGTAGTCACTGTAGTGAGTATAAAGTTGGACCTATGCTTTTTATTTCTGTAAGTTAGTAAAGATTTATGGGGCTGGGAAGATAGCTCAACACCTTAAGCGCCTGCCTAGCAAGTGGAAGGTCCGGAGTTTGAGCAGGAAAAGAAAAAAGATATATGTATCTTTGGTGTACTTACTGGCCATGTACATGTCTGTTTTTGATGAAATACATATTCAGACCCCTTGCCCATTGCGTAATTGGAGTATTGTAAGAATTTTAAGATTTATGTTTTATGTATTGTGGTTATTGTTCCCTCATGAGATAGATGATTTGCAAATATAATTTCCTATTCTCTGGATTTATCTCAGTGTTTTCTTTTGTGCCCTCCCTCCCTCCCTTTTTGGGTAGGGTCTCATTTTGTAGTTGAGGCTAGCCTTGAACTCCAGACAGTCCTACTTCAGACTCCCGAGTTCTGGGATTACAGTCTTAAACTCCTATATCCAGCTTTTTCTTTTTAGTTTTATAGGTAGGACAGTGATTCATTTCATTTGATTCTGATATAACAGTGGCATCTTTTTTTTTTTTCTTTTTAAATCTTTTTCGAGATAGGGTCTCGCCCACAGTTCAGGCTGCCTTGAGCTTACTTTGTAGCCCAGGCTGGTCTCGAACTGACAGCAATCAGACATGCACCACCATCCCTGGCATAGGGCATCTGTCCTTGTGCACGTTGTTGATACAGCACAGTTCTGCGCTGTTGATCACTCTGTACTTCTTTACATTGGCGCCATTGTACCGCTGACCTTTGCGTGCAAGTACAGCCTCACCAGAATTCAGTCCAGAGTGACATGGCGTGAACTGGTTGGAAAAATCCATGAGAGTGCATTTGATGATTTTGGGCTACCTAGGAAAACTTGTGCACCATCTTTTTTATCAGATGTGTGGATTTAATTATATTTTATGTAAGTTAAAGATGTTTGAGTTAAAGTTCTGTTTGGGGGGGTTGATTTTTTAATGTATTTAGTACAGGGTCTCCAGGGTCTCGCTGAACAGATCGGGCTTGTGGTGATCCTCCTGTTTTCAGCTTCTCGAGCGCTGGGATCACAGGCGCCCGCCACTCCCAGCCTCAGCATGTCCCGGCGGCAGGGCCATCACCAGCATGGCACGCCACACGGAGGGAGCGGAACCCAGGCCCTGCATCTGCCTGAGCAGCTGCTTTAGTCCACTGAGCTACGTGGCTGGCCCTTAAAGGTTCTGTTTAAACATAACATATGGTATACTTTAATACAAAATATGTGGGCATTCTAGAGTTAAGGCTACTTTTGGCATAAATTCTCGAATTGTTATTATCATAATATAACTTTACTGCAGAATTTTTCTTCACTATAGTCGATAGATATTTGACAAAGTTTTTAGTAGAAAGTTAACGATTTGGAGAAGAAAAACCTAATGTGTTGATTTATTTATAGTTGCTGAATTATTATTATTATTTTTTTTTTTGCTGAATTATTATGTGCTGTTTTCTATGCATGATTTTGTTTTTCTTACAGCAAAGTATCCAGAGATAAAATCCTTGATGAAACCTGATCACAGCTTGATATGGATTATCCTGATGATGCTTTTCATCCAGCTGGTTGCCTTTTACTTAGTGAGAGACTTAGACTGGAAATGGGTCATGTTTTGGGCCTATGTCTTTGGCAGCTGCATTAACCACTCAATGACTCTCGCTATCCATGAGATTGCCCACAACTTCACCTTTGGCCACCACAAGACTCTGTGGAATCGCTTGTTTGGAATGGTCGCTAATCTTCCCATTGGGGTTCCATATTCAGTTTCCTTTAAGAGGTATCACATGGACCATCACAGATACCTTGGCGCTGATGGCATCGATGTGGATATTCCTACTGATTTTGAGGGCTGGTTCTTCTGTACCACTTTCAGAAAGTTTATGTGGGTTATTCTTCAGCCTCTCTTTTATGCTTTTCGACCTCTGTTTATCAATCCCAAACCAATTTCCTATCTTGAAATTATCAATACCACAGTCCAGATCACTTTTGACATTCTTGTTTACAACACATTAGGAATTAAATCTTTAATATACATGTTGGCAGCAACCCTTCTTGGTCTGGGCTTACACCCGATTTCTGGACATTTTATAGCTGAGCATTACATGTTCCTAAAGGGACACGAAACTTACTCATATTATGGACCTCTGAATTTGCTGACCTTCAATGTGGGTTATCACAATGAACATCACGACTTCCCCAATGTTCCTGGAAAGAACCTTCCACTGGTGAGTAAGGGTTTGATGTGTATTTTAGTTTCCTGTGGTCATATAAATTGATTTGGTCATTTAAAAGGAGTCTCGTATATTTTATGAATCTTAAGCTGTACATCCAAAAAAGTATAGCATCCTAATTTTAAGTAGGGTTTGTTCTCTTGGATCCTTAAGCTTTGGGGCTAGTATAGGGTTGTGTTGGGACATAAGTAAAATCTGATATCTGGTGAGATAACTCAGAAATACAAAACTAAATTCCTCTGTGAAGTATATGCCAGTTCTTGGAACCGTCATCATTATTATAGTTAGAAGTTTGCTAAATTTTTTTCTTTTCTTTTCTTTTTTTTTTTTTTTTGGTACTGGGGATTGAACTCAAGACCTTGTGCTTGCCAGGCAAGTGCTTATTCTACTGAGCTGTCTCTCTGGCCCAGTTTGCTAAATGTCATAAGGTTTTGTGATAAAGTCCAGATACCAGCCTTGACTATGTGTTGAGTTGAAGGTGAGCTTGGGCTACATAGTCCCTAGCTCATAAAAGCTAAGAAAAAAAATCTTCAATTGCTATCTCAGCTTGCCCTGAGGGCAGGGCCAGCAGGGCAGGCCCGGGGATCGGGCCCCTGCACCTGCTTGCAGGCACTTTAATCCACTGAGCTATTTTGCTAGCCCTTGTATATGAAACTTTATAGTAGGTTTTCTTTATTTTTATTTTTTATTTTTATTTAATGTGTTTAGTACAGGGTCTCACTACATAGTTTGGATTTGTAGTGATCTTCCTGTCTTCAGCCTCCCCAGTGGTGGGATTACAGGCATGCACCATCACAGCAGGTCTTACTGGCCAGCTCAGCACACCCAGGGGCAGGGCCGGTGCAGCAAGTGGTGCTAGGGAATCGAACCCTGAGCTTGCCTAAGCAGGTGCTGAGTTTTGCGGATCCGGGGATTGAACTCAGACCCTTGTGCTTGCCAGGGAAGCACTTATTCCACTGAGCCATCACCCCAGCCCTCATTGAGCTATCTTGCCTGCCCTTTTTCCTTCTTTTATTTTTTTTTTTTTAAGGTGTAATTTAAAGCAACTGCAGGGGCTGGTGAGATGGCTCAGTTGTCTAAAGCACCTACTTAGAACAAGCTTAGCAAAGCACAGGGACCACAGTTCAATCCCCCATC